CTGAGGACACAGCTTGGTATGGAGGGATGCACAGAGGAGACCTCACTGGGTAGGGGGTGGGGAGGGGGCTTCCTCAGGGAGGCAGCAATGGAGCTGTACCAGGCTATTTATGAAGATCAAAGTTGATGCTTTTCACTGTGCCTGCACCCATGAACCCAAGCCAAGTTTTTAGCCCATGATACACCTTAAGCTACATCTGCAACTCCTGGGGTGAGAACCAGAAAGCATTGCTAACTCCAGCACTTCAGTTGCCTTCTTGGAATCACAGCTGAGGGCTAAGCAGAAGGAGCATTTGAATAGATGTGAGAGACCAGGCATGTGATCTTCACAGTATATCCAACAGCACAGGGATCTTAGACAAGTCTCCTGTCCCGTGTTCAATTACTTATCCCTCTACAAAATTTAGGGCTTGAACTTCATGATCTATGAGTCTCCTTTGGGATCAGAATCCCTGGACCCAGAAGGGTTTCTCAGAACTGGAAAGTTCTTAGAGGGCGCCTGGCCTGATCCCTAGTTCCCTGTCTAGTGCAGGACTCTGGTCTCAGCACTCCTAAGGAATGGGTATCTGCTTCTGCTCAAACACTCCAGAGATGGGATGCTTGCTGCCTCACGTGGTAGAGGGACAAAGGTAGATAACATCTCACTTATCTTGATTGAAGTCTTCCAACCTTATCCCCAGCCCTGGGTGCTGAGTGCGCTAGGGATTCATCCAATGAGGAAGTCCCTACTTTCCTATGACCTTGATTCAACCCACACCTGTGAACTCTACCACTGTGCCAGGCACTGGAAAAGTCAAACACAGTCCAGAGACCACTTCACTCAGCACATCCCAAGGGGCTGTTCTGCATATTGCAGGATGAGTAGCATCTCTGACCTCTACCCACCAGATGCCAATAGAGTCCCCTCAGTTGTGTCAATCAACAGTGTCTGGAAAAACCAAAACTGACTGCCAAATATTCCATTGGATGGGAGGAGGAGTGTGACAACATTGTCCCTTACTAAGAAGCATGGATCTAGGGTAAACACCCTAATTCCTCCTGAAGTCTTTCACAAGTCAGTTGCCTCTTTTCTAACTCCCAGCAGCCATTCTTTGAAGGCTGCCAAGCCAAACCTCTTCATGTCTGAGCACTGCACTGGCCTGCTATACCTTTTCATCTTGCTGTAATTTTATACAAACCTGCAAATAGATTTTTTTAAAGACATGAAGAAAATGAGGCCCAGAGAAGTTAAGTGATTTATGCAGGGTCACATCGCCCATGGGTGCAAAGCCACAGCTGAAAGCTTGGTTTTGAATTATGTCCATTCACTCCATAAGAAAGGATCCAAACACACAAGCCACCTTGTTCCAGGAAAATTCCCCATTCTTTTAAATAAGCATCCCTCCCTTAATCTTTGTTGATAGGCAAGGGTGTGATCTTGAATCCTATTCATTCCTTCAATAAGCATTTCATTCAATTTCAATGTCATCCAATGGGATTGCTTCCTTTTCTCCTAGTAAGCAATAAAAGTGTTATAAATAGCATGGAAAAAGAAGCTTGGGAGAAAAAGCAAGGAAACATGGGTTGCTCCTGTTGGCAGGGACATCTGAGGTCAAGTTTAATGCCTTCACTTCTTGGAGGAAGACACTAATGCTCAGAGAAGGGACATGGGGTATCTCAGGGAACTCAAAGTCCTCACAGTAGAGCAATGCTCAGACCCAGACCTTCCACCTCCTACCCGCTGCTCTTTTTAAATCCTACCTATCTTTGTGCCCTTACTATCTCTGTCCCATGTTGGGAAGTGCTTCTCTGAATGCAAGTGAATAATAAACTAGGTACAGACTTCTAACAAATACCCTGTGAAGGAATTCCCTCCAAGACCCCTGAGATGTGCTATGGAGAAGAAAAACCCTCACTGACTAGAGGGGAAAAAAATCACTATTATTTATTGGGTGTCAAATGTTTTGCACATGCTGTCTCATGTAAACCTTCTCACAACTACTATTTTACAAATGACACATTTTAACAAGGGGGCCTAAGACACTTCTTTCACAAGGACAGAATTGGGACTTGATTCCCCATCTGTGATGGCATGACTTGTGTGCTAAGTGATAATCAACAGCGCCAGCAAGGAAAGCTTCTCAACATGGGCTCCATTTCCTTCTTCTCAGCTGGGAGCTGAAGATGCAAGTCTACTCAGCCTCTAACTTGCTGTGTGACTTGCCTGAGTGTTCCTTACGTGCTAGGGGGACTTCTAAAGTTCTTTTTGGTTCTAACATTCTAGAATCATTCCTTCTTAGAACATTTCCCAGAATCAAATATTTAAACTGTGACATAGTTTGAGATGATTGGTGATGAAAGAAAGAAGAGACTACAGAAATCGTAGTTGAACAAACACAGTCCCTGTGTGCACTAACCAGAAGTAATATATAACTCCCTGCCATTCTCTTGTATTTTCCCTTTGTTCTTCTGAATGCTGAAGGCCAGAAATCATAAAAGCAATTCCTAAAAGCTGTTTTAAGCCTTCAGCTGTTGTTAGGTGCTCTCTAGGCAGGAGATTGTGAAGGAGGAAATTCCCAAGCTCTGCCTGACAACTGAAACCACCATGAGGGATGGCTTCCATCTCTGTAGTGGGGCTCTTGATTTTATCATCTGAATAAGGACACTGTTGAGAGACAGGGATGTGCTATGGGTAGGTGAGCTGGGCTGTTCTGCACAAGTCAGGACATAGAGTCACCCCAGTGGGAATGACTGCCATCAACTTGTATACTGTAAGAAAAAGAAACTGCTGATTAAAACAAATAAAAAACCAGAAATTAATTCTACAGTTGGCCCTCTGCAGAATCCATATCCATGGATTCAATCAACTTCAGATCAAAACACTTTTTAAAAAACAATGGTGTCTGTACTGAATATGTACAAATTTTTCCTCCTTGTCATTAGTCCCTAAACAATACAGAAAAATGGCTATTTACATGGCATTTGCATGGTATGAGGTATTATGAGTAATCTAGAGATGATTTAAGGTATATGGGAGATTACATGTAGATTACATGCAAATACTCTGCCATTTATCTAAGGCCCTTGATCTCGGACGGTTTGGTACCCATGGGGGGGTCCTGGATGCTGATGAAGGAGTATGTTTGATTCTGCCTTCTAGGTTGCTTATGATATAATTTATATTAATGAGTAACTTAAGAATAACTACAGTCATGATAAAAACTGTAATTTCCAAGCTTCTGCCATTATCAAAAACATTTAGTTCTGAATTGCTGAAGAGAAGATTGCTTTGGAGTAGGGTGGTGGGTCATTTGTTTTGCAGTATCTTAATGAGTTTTAGAATATGCAAACAGATAGAATTTGAGAAAGGGAATGGAGAAGCAAAACACTCTGCCTAATAAGGTAAAGAATGAGTGTCTAGGGGAGGTAGGGAGAGGGCAGGACCAGGAGGAGGCAGCAAGAGCCCTACAAGGGGGAGAAGGGAGGGTGGCAGCCTGAAGGAAAACATTGGCCTGAAGAGAGGCTGCAAAACAAAAAAGGGGACCCAGAGACTCAGGAGGCTGAGGCAGGAGAGATGTGCTATGGTCACAAGTTGAAGACCAGGCTGGGCAACTTAGCAAGACCTTGTCTTCAAAAAACAAATAAATAAAAAGGGCTGGGGATGTAGCTCAGTGAGCACACTTGGGTTCAATCCCCAGTACAGAGAGAGAGAGA